GTCTCTGATAAACTTGGTCCAATTTTTCGCTACAGCTACATGTAGCTTTCCACAAGCCTTATATAATTCAAATAAAGGGGAATAGCTTTTCTGTATGCCTATTCAGACCAGGAAGACTGAATTTACGGTTTTATCATTCAACCATCAATTGCACAGTTTAATCAAGAGTATTTTCAACATGAAGTTCAGTCTAAATTAATACAAACATAAACATATCAAGACCCAGGTGAAGAGCTGATCTGTAGCTTTGTGAAGGAATGTGCTGTTTCAAATCGACTAAACAAGAGAGTCCTACATTGTGAATCCATTACATTTCAAGCCAGTTTAACTAGGTAAGAAATCTTGGCATGTTGTTTACACCAATTGTCAACTCTGTCGTCCACCGGAAAACCACACAGTTATTTATTAAATTCCTTCCATACTAGCAAATCACAGAGAACCAATTGTTGGCTGAGCTGAAGGTAAAGGTAAGGTTAAGTCTGCATGTGAGCAAAGTGGCTCATCAAACCAGAGCTTATCCTGGTTTCAGTGGCATGAAGTGACTAGGAGTATTTCTACTCTCCCCTGGATGGGATGCTAGTCCATCGCAGGGTTACCCCCACCCCCAGCACTACCCCCCACCAGTACCCATTTACACACCTGGGTGGAGAGAGGCACTGTGTCTTACCCAAGAACACAACACAATGTCCCCAGCCAGGACTCGAACCCGGACCGCTCGCTTTGGTGTCGAGTGCACTAACCATGAGGCCGCCATGCCTCCCACAGAGCCGCGAATGCCAAAAATTGACAAAACAACAAAACAGCCTGCTCACATCAGTGCTTGAAATGATTTTGCTACCTCTGGGCATGGCTGTGTTAATTGAAATTCAATTTGATCAAGCAGGAAAGTACCCGTCCTGAACTACAAAGCCATGTACATCAAAGTTCAAGCCAAATATTCAATATTTGGCTCAGCCATTACTTATCAGCAAGAAATGTCTGTTCAATTGCAGTTCAAAGCCGTAAGTCATGTGGCTTAAGTTTTTTGCCATCTAAAGAAAGCACTACATTATTGCCACAGTGCAATTGCCCTAATGAGGCTAAATGGTGACAAGTTAGATTTTTGATCATATCATATACAATAACAGATGGGAAGCTTACTAGGAAATCATTAGACTTGCAACTTCACTGGACTTGATGATGTCCCCAAGCAGACTCTTGGATTGTGGACAGCAGTTATAAATAGACAGTTAAATTGATCAGCTCCTTCTCCGAGTCTGTGACTGAGCAAACTAAATTTCAAATGCACAACATTCAAGTGTGGACTGTGCTAAACATAACACCTATGAAAAGGGGGGACGTGCAAGTAATGGTATTAAAAATAGATAAATAATGCAGCAAGCATCACTCTAGGTAAGCTTTAACGGATGCATTTAAGAAGTGCAAAAACCTCACCAGGTTACGTAAGTGAGGGGATTTTTCTGCAGGTGTGGTTTTGAAAAAGCACTCAGATACACTAAGGGCCACTCCCAATGCCACTCCACTCATGTGCCAAACCTAACTGATTAGTTACGTACGGCAGAAGAGTGGCATTTGAATTAGTTTGACTTGGCAATTTTAATCAAGTATGGTAAACAAAGAGAAGTTCGGCAGGGCCTGTCACATTGTGTGACATTGGCGCGGCAGCTGATTCATATGCCGTTCTCCTCACGTGCCAAACCCAATGCATAAATTACTGTAATGTATTTTTGATATGACAGGATTCATGATTGGCTCAAAAATGAGTGGCATGACCACTCATGCATGAAGTTTGAAGTGGTTGATAGAAAGTTGCACCAACAAAACCTCTTTGCAGTTCAGAGCTCACCTTTTAGCCTTTAATTCACGAGAAATAGACCTATATAAACAAGTTTCTTTAGCGCAAGTTACTTTTTTTCCTCTTTCTTCGTGATAATAGCCCAGCTTGTGAGATTTCTCATTTTCAGGTTGAATTTACTGAAAGAAAACCTTTCCAAATACAAACAATCTTGCGATTGAATTTTCTTTCCCTAAATATTGCTAATACAGTGAAAAATAAGCAACTTACAGCTTTTTGATTTGGACGGAGTTTTTGAATTCACAGCACAGATTTTCACATTGACTGATTGTTTACCACAGGCTCCCTGAATTAAGTTTGATGCAAGTACACCGTCTGAATCAGCCTTCACTCCACAGTCGAACCTTACTATCAGGTTCACCTATCCGTTTGACACATGAGTGAAGCGATGTTTGGATTAGGCCTAAAATAATCTAAATCTTGACAACAGCCTTGGCATATAGAAAGATGAAACAGTACTATTCCTAAAACAGACCAAATATTAAATATGTACTGGAGAGGAGATTTGTGAGCTTACATGTAAATTCACACTTGTATAGCGGACGTTTGCCGTCGATTAAGGAAAGCAATGCTGGGCTTCGCCTTCATGGTGGGTCTCGCTATGAAAAATATCTGTGAGATTTGCAGGCTTAAATTCCCACTTGGTTGGTAATGTGGAAAGTGAGGGTTAGGGCAACTATCGAGCAGGCTCTTGTTGAAATTAGAAGGTGATGGGAGCTTTTGACGCAAATTTATGGTTAAAATAGACATGTTCCTTCG